TGGTCACCAATTGATTGCTCCGTTCTTGTGTCAACGACAAACCAAACCTGTGAGTACAGGCAATCAGATCATCGCAGTTCCAACCTCACAGGTAACCTACTGGTCACCACCTGATTGCTCCGTTCTTGTGTCAACGACAAACCAAACCTGTGAGTACAGGTATCTCAGTCTAGTGTGCATTAATCTCTTTACTGTGTCCCCTACTTACACCTCTCTATCGCTGTCCTCAAGTATTTCGGCTGCAAAAGTACGACCAAATCCGAAAGAAAAAGAACAAAATTTACATTCGGCTTGATTAAAATAGGTTTGGAAAAAGGCGGGAAGTCTTTCTGGTCAGATTCACCACCACTACCACCACGCCACCATCATCATCAACATCTGCAGTAACAGCATTTGTCTTTTTAGCAGGAACAGTAAATCATGTCTTTTTGTCTGTCTGTCCTGTATTCCAAAAGACAGAAGAAGAAGAAGAGAAGAAGAAAAGAAGAGAAAGAACCAGCATTCCAAAAGACAAAGAAGAAGAAGAAGAAGAAGAAGAAGAAGAAGAAGAAGAAGAAGAAGAAGAAGAAGAAGAAGAAGAAGAAGAAGAAGAAGAAGAAGAAGAAGAAGAAGAAGAAGAAGAAGAAGAAGAAGAAGAAGAAGAAGAAGAAGAAGAAGAAGAAGAAGAAGAAGAAGAAGAAGAAGAAGAAGAAGAAGAAGAAGAGGAAGAAGAAGAAGAAGAAGAAGAAGAAGAAGAAGAAGAAGAAGAAGAAGAAGAAGAAGAAGAAGAAGAAGAAGAAGAAGAAGAAGAAGAAGAAGAAGAAGAAGAAGAAGAAAAAAGGGAAAAAAGATGAAGACAAATAAAGAGGAAGAAGCAGAGGAAGAAAAAGAAGAAGAAGAGTAATTGTCTCCTCCCGGCTGCTGCCTGAAAGTTTGACACCAAGAAATTACAAAACTTTAGTTTGGATGGCAGACCAACAAAGCAAATTTCAGAGACCCCGTTCAACCTCCAACAATGTTATAATTGGAGCACTTGTATCGGCCATAACGGGCTGTTATATCCGGAAATCTTGTTCGAGTAAGGGGTTGTTTATATTTGTTGTTTTCGAATTTGGTAACTTGTTTATGTGACTATCTGCTAGTACTGGTATTTGGTTGAATCGTTGTTTGTGAGGATAAGGAGAAGACGATATTGGTGCTTCTGCACTTCGCGGAAATAGGGGGGTGGGGGTCGGGCTACATCTGGCTTAAATAGGAGACCTGCAGGCAACAGGTGACAGACCTAGTCAGGTCTTTGCTAGGAGATCACACATTCTATAGGTAAGTGAAGTGACAGGGCCTTGGAAGTGCTGATAAGATAATGGAAATGAAAGTTTGTGGTTGAGCTACCTAGCACTGGAGACCGTAGAAGCTATGCATGCCTACAGTCAACCGTTCTTTACATGGAGTCGCCATGGAGCAGTTAACACACTTGCATGCCTGTCTGACTGTCACGAGATCGAATCCTAATCTACACTGACATTTATTTTAAAACTGACTTTGGGCGCAGACAAACTCTGCTGAAAAAAATTCATTCGTAAACGTTATGAGAGGTTTTATATAATATACATAACTGGCATGGTATTAGGGTGCTCTGTTGCATATATCCTGGAAAAGATATATAACCAAAGCAAACATTTCGCTGGATAGTTAATCATCAACTATTGATATACAGCAAAGTATATAACAGCAAAGTGTGTGGCACACGATGCGTGTTGGGACACAAAGGAAAACATGGCTGGCCATCGTGGAAAAGATTGTGACCTTACAACGTACCAACCAAAGACAGTAATGGAAGCACAACAAGTTAGAAAAAGCGATGCAGGCACATCTTGGTCCCCTGGAGTAATGCCTGTTGTAAATACAAACAGGGAAGAGACAAATCCTCTGTTGACTAGGCTAGAGCATAATAACGAGTGCGCCTTAAATTCTTCTACGGGGTGAAATTGGAACAAGTTAAAAATTTCTTATATCTTGGACAAGTAATAACATGTGACGGCAGAAGTGAAACAGGAGTCAAGAAAAGAATAGGGATGGCCAAAAACATTTTCAACAACATGCAAAAGTTACTGACATCAATCAAGAGAAATAAGCAATACATTAAAAATGAGAATTGTCAAATGGTATGTATTCTCAACCTTACTGTATGGCACAGAGACATGGACAATGAACAAACAACTGGAAAATCGTATCAATTCTTTGGAGATGTGGATATACAGAAGATTAGGTCGTATTTCATGGAAACAAAAGCTATCAAATACAGAGGTACTGAGGAAAGTGGGAATGAAAAGAGAGTTGCTATGTGAAATAAAAAAGAGACAAGTGAAATATTTTGGCCACATTAAAAGACATAACAGTATTGTAAAGATCATCCTAGAGGGAAAGGTTCAAGGTAGGCGAGCAAAAGGCAGACAGCGTTACAAGTGGGAGGATGACATCAAGAGATGGACAAACAGCAGTATGAGTAAGTGTACATCAAGGGCAAGAGACGGCTTGTTGGAGATCCATTGCAGCCAACCTTCATTGTGGAGACGGCACCTGATTGATTGATTGATTGATATACCAGTCTAATTAAACAACAGAATCTTTCTTAACTGTATTTGCTGTCAGTCTTGAGAGCCACCTTGATGTAGCGGCTAGATGCTTGCCTGCTTGTCTGGAGGTTACGGGAAATGAACCAGACTTGTTCTTTTCCTAAAACTGTCCTTAGTTTCTAGGTTGACCCAGCCTCAAATGGGTGACAGGTAAAGGTGTGGGAAGTAAAGGGGGCCGGTGTGATACTGATCACATCACCCACAGAGTGTCGACTGGTCCGTCTTCTTCTTCTTCTTCTTCTTCTTCTTCTTCTTCTTCTTCTTCTTCTTCTTCTTCTTCTTCTTCTTCTTCTTCTTCTTCTTCTTCTTCTTTTTCTTCTTCTTCTTTTTTTTTACGTCCGCTATTACCGCTTCGGGTGTCGAGGGAGACATAAGATCCTACTTCGTGCCCTTCTGGCTGCTTCGACCAAAGACACATCGTGGTGCTGTAGAGTTTCTCTGCTGTTATCTTCCCATTTTGTTCTTGGTCTACCTCTTGCTCTACGTCCCTCTCCTTTCTTGTTGTTGTTGTATAGTATTAAAAAGCATTCTCTCCAATTGGGCAAATCATGTGATTTGCAGTCTTTGTATATAATTTAGAATTGGTTCTTTGCTGACTATATCTCGTATGACCTCATTCCTGATTTTATGTTTTTTGGTCACTCCTACAGTTTTTTCCCAGACACCCCATTTCCATTATTATTACTAGTTTGTTAAAATGTTTTGTTGAGAGTGACCACGTCTGGCACCGGTAGCATAGGGGAGAGAGAAAAAAGGGGGGGGGGGGGATGAATAAGCGTTGTATAACTGGTTTATAACATATAGAAAACTTGAAAGTAAATTACATTTTTTCACGCCTTCAGACTTTTGCGCATATGGGACCAGACTTTTTTTTATAGACCGATTGACTCTTTTTGGGTGATATGGTCAGCATCACATCGGCTGCTTTTACATCCCCAGGATTTTACCTAGTACCCATTTAAGCCTGGGTTGACCTAGGAGCCTATATCATTTAAAAAATCCTTACCATTAAATATATAAGTCTAGCACCTTCAACCCAAAAAGCTTGAAAGCGTGGAAAACGGCTCTTGTGTTTTCTTCTATTGTCAATATCTGCTTTCCGCTGCTTGTTGCTTGTGTTGAATTGAACGGATGGTAGGTAGCTAGAAAGGACGCGCTCGATTGTTTGGTATGGTGTGTTGTTGTAAAACATTAGATGTCAATTACTTCTTCACCTCATATTCTGTTTTTCTTTTTAGTCTCCATTACATCTTAGTGTTTTTAATTCCATGTTGTTCTGGCACTTCTCTGTCTGTCTGTCTCTGTCTCTCTCTCTCTCTCTCTCTCTCTCTCTCTCTCTCTCTCTCTCTCTCTCTCTCTCTCTCTCTCTTTCTCACCCTGGCGGCATAGTCAACTAGACGAACCATTCCACTCTTTGTTTTTCGACTAGTACAACAACGGGTATTGTTCCAATAGTTCGCTTAATCTCTTCAGTTCTTACACGATCTCATCTGGTTTTGCTTGTAACTTTTCTTATTTGTATCCAATATTCTCTTGCAGAAATTCCACATTCAGATCACCATACAATGAGGACTTGGTTCTTGATGACGACAGGGCTGCTGCTCTTGTCTGCAGTCACTTTACAAGGTGGAGGACATTCTGCTGCTGCTGCTGTAGCTGCTACTGCTGCTACTGCCGCTACTGCTGCTACTGCCGCTACTGCTGCTACTGCAGCTACTGCTGCTACTGCTGCTACTGCTGCTACTGCTGCTACTGCCGCTACTGCTGCTACTGCTGCTACTGCCGCTACTGCTGCTACTGCTGCTACTGCTGCTACTGCTGCTACTGCCGCTACTGCAGCTACTGCTGCTACTGCTGCTACTGCTGCTAAGGCTGCTAGGGCTGCTACTGCTGCTACTGCTGCTACTGCCGCTACTGCCGCTACTGCTGCTACTGCAGCTACTGCTGCTACTGCTGCTACTGCTGCTACTGCTGCTAAGGCTGCTAGGGCTGCTAGGGCTGCTACTGCTGCTACTGCTGCTACTGCTGCTACTGCAGCTACTGCCGCTACTGCCGCTACTGCCGCTACTGCCGCTACTGCTGCTACTGCTGCTACTGCTGCTACTGCTGCTACTGCAGCTACTGCTGCTACTGCTGCTACTGCTGCTACTGCTGCTAAGGCTGCTAGGGCTGCTAGGGCTGCTAGGGCTGCTACTGCTGCTACTGCTGCTACTGCTGCTACTGCTGCTACTGCTGCTACTGCTGCTACTGCTGCTACTGCCGCTACTGCCGCTACTGCTGCTACTGCTGCTAGGGCTGCTAGGGCTGCTACTGCTGCTACTGCTGCTACTGCTGCTACTGCTGCTACTGCCGCTACTGCCGCTACTGCCGCTACTGCTGCTACTGCAGCTACTGCTGCTACTGCTGCTAAGGCTGCTAAGGCTGCTTCTGCTGCTACTAAGAAGATCGACGACGAGCGACATCTTCAAGAGGGCGACAAAGATTTTCTCTTTGACACGTTCCCCGAGGATTTCGTCTGGGCGGCAGCAACAGCGGCCTACCAGATCGAAGGTGGTTATGACGAGGATGGTACGTCGTGTCAGCGTGTGTATGTTTGTTTGTGTGTATGTGTGATACCGTGTTCCATCCTAAGAATTTACATCACTAACATTGTCATCTAAAGGAACGCTCTAATCGGTGTGTAAAAATGACGCTCCTGCAGGTTTCTTTGAAACCATCTCTTGTGCTTGGTTCTCATACAGGTTTCTTTGAAACCATCACTTGTGCTTGTTTCTCATACAGGTTTCTTTGAAACCATCTCTTGTCGTGTTTGGTTCTCATACAGGTTTCTTTGAAACCATCACTTGTGCTTGTTTCTCATACAGGTTTCTTTGAAACCATCACTTGTGCTTGTTTCTCATACAGGTTTCTTTGAAACCATCACTTGTGCTTGGTTCTCATACAGGTTTCTTTGAACCCATTTCTTGTCGTGCTTGGTTCTCATACAGGTTTCTTTGAAACCATCACTTGTCGTGCTTGGTTCTCATACAGGTTTCTTTGAAACCATCACTTGTCGTGCTTGGTTCTCATACAGGTTTCTTTGAAACCATCACTTGTCGTGCTTGTTTCTTTGAAAACCATCTCTTGTCGTGCTTGGTTCTCAAACAGGTTTCTTTGAACCTATTTCTTGTCGTGCTTGGTTCTCAAACAGGTTTCTTTGAAACCATCACTTGTTGTGCTTGGTTCTCAAACAGGTTTCTTTGAAACCATCACTTGTCGTGCTTGGTTCTCAAACAGGTTTCTTTGAAACCATCTTTTGTCTTGTTTGGTTCTCATACAGGTTTCTTTGAAACCATCACTTGTCGTGCTTGGTTCCCAAAAAGGTTTCTTTGAAACCATCATTTGTGCTTGGTTCTCATACAGGTTTCTTTGAAACCATCTCTTGTCGTGCTTGTTTCTCATACAGGTTTTTTTTAAACAATCACTTGTCGTGCTTGGTTCTCATACAGGTTTCTTTGAAACCATCACTTGTCGTGCTTGGTTCTCATACAGGTTTCTTTGAAACCATCACTTGTCGTGCTTGGTTCTCATACAGGTTTCTTTGAAACCATCACTTGTCGTACTTGGTTCTCAAACAGGTTTCTTTGAACCTATTTCTTGTCGTGCTTGGTTCTCAAACAGGTTTCTTTGAAACCATCACTTGTCGTGCTTGGTTCTCAAACAGGTTTCTTTGAACCTATTTCTTGTCGTGCTTGGTTCTCAAACAGGTTTCTTTGAAACCATCACTTGTCGTGCTTGGTTCTCAAACAGGTTTCTTTGAAACCATCACTTGTCGTGCTTGGTTCTTAAACAGGTTTCTTTGAACCTATTTCTTGTCGTGCTTGGTTCTCAAACAGGTTTCTTTGAAACCATCTCTTGTCGTGCTTGTTTCTCATACAGGTTTCTTTGAAACCATCTCTTGTCGTGCTTGTTTCTCATACAGGTTTCTTTGAAACCATCAGTTGTCGTGCTTGGTTCTCAAACAGGTTTCTTTGAAACCATCTCTTGTCGTGCTTGTTTCTCATACAGGTTTCTTTGAAACCATCAGTTGTCGTGCTTGGTTCTCAAACAGGTTTCTTTAAAACCATCACTTGTCGTGCTTGGTTCTCAAACAGGTTTCTTTGAAACCAACATTTGTCGTGCTTGGTTCTCAAACAGGTTTTTTTGAAACTATCACTTGTCGTGCTTGGTTCTCATACAGGTTTCTTTAAAACGATCACTTGTCGTGCTTGCTTTTCAAACAGGTTTCTTTGAAACCATCACTTGTCGAGCTTGGTTCTCAAACAGGTTTCTTTGAAAAAATCACTTTTCGTGCTTGGTTCTCAAACAGGTTTCTTTGAAACCATCACTTGTCGTGCTTGGTTCTCATACAGGTTTCTTTGAAACCATCACTTGTCGTGCTTGGTTCTCATACAGGTTTCTTTGAAACCATCACTTGTCGTGCTTGGTTCTCATACAGGTTTCTTTGAAACCATCACTTGTCGTGCTTGGTTCTCATACAGGTTTCTTTGAAACCATTTCTTGTCGTGTTTGGCGCTCATACAGGTTTTTTTGAAACCATCTCTTGTCGTGCTTGGTTCTCATACAGGTTTTTTTTTTTAACCGTCTCTTGTCGTGCTTGGTTCTCATACAGGTTTCTTTGAAACCATCACTTGTCGTGCTTGGTTCTTATACAGGTTTCTTTGAACTCATTTCTTGTCGTGCTTGGTTCTTATATAGGTTTCTTTGAAACTATGATTTGTCGTGCTTGGCGCTCATACAGGTTTCTTTGAACTCATTTCTTGTCGTGCTTGGTTCTTATATAGGTTTCTTTGAACCCATCTCTTGTCGTGCTTGGTTCTTATATAGGTTTCTTTGAACCCATCTCTTGTCGTGCTTGGTTCTTATATAGGTTTCTTTGAACCCATCTCTTGTCGTGCTTGGCGCTCATACAAGTTTCTTTGAATCAATCTCGTATCCTGCTCTTATTACAATTACTATTATCATCATAGTTATTATATTCAGTAGTTTTTCAGCTAACGATTTCATGCCTTTCCTTTAGTATTCAAGGTGGTTCATTAAATCTCACGTTTGCTTACTTGCTGTGGAGTTGATGTGTTTAAAGCTCCCATTGAAGTGGATATTAAAACTAAGCTAGGCAGACCTAGCTTAGAATGAGTATTAGCAAATTTTCTGGGAAGCAAACGCGGCCCGGTGTGATGTTGACCACATCACTCATCGATGTCTATAAAATTTGACTCTAACCCTATGTGCCTGGTCTCTATTGGCGTGTAAAGGGGACTTACCTCGCGTTAAGTTTAAACACAGCCAGTGGAATCTTAACCGACTGGGCGAGCGTTGAAAACGCCAAGGTGTCATTCGGAGACCCACATTTTTAACCTCTGTAAGGTCGTGTAGTTTTAGGGCAAGAAACTCCTTCTTCTCTTCCACCTTGTACCTCAGTGAAGTGTCGGGGGGAGATTTAACGTTCGTTGATGAGCTATGTCAAGAGCACAATTAAGAAGGATGTTTATTTCTCTAAAGCTATATTTTTTATTGCCATCACTCCATAATTTAGGAGGTCTTTCATTCGCTCTATACCCGTTGTAACGTTTTAGTGTGGCTCGCTGTGGCGGATAGTACCAGGGCATTCTTGTTAGGTGTCCAAACCACTTCATCTGTTGTTCTTTGATGACCTGTAAGACTGGCTTTACTCTTAGTATTCGTCAGATTTCAAGATTTCTTATTCTGTCTTTCCTTGAAACTTCTGCAGCTCGGCATTTCATCTCTGTTGTCACAATTTTACGTTCATTAGATTATGTAAGTGTCGATGTTCAGCACTGATAGCATGGTGTTGGCCAAAAAAAAATAGTTCTGATAAGATTCACTTTAGTACTCCGAGGTATCTGCTTGTGTGTCAACAGGGGAGATAGTTACCCCATTACTTGATTTGCTTTGGCACATTTCAAGTTAATTTCTGTTTGGCAAAAAAGCCAGAATTTTTTTTTTAATCTTTACCCTAACAGTTTGTGGCGATTGCATTAACCATGCGGCCCTAATTCACCAGGTTCAAATCCCCCTTCCCCCACCCCCTCTCTCCTGCTCAACCGCCCGTCCCGTCTTAACCGCAAGTGGCAACAGAGGTACACAGATGCAGTAAAAGATCCATGGATTGTCGAATGGCGTGTACAAATAAATGGAAAGCTAGACACGCCAAATGCAAGAACTGGGAGCTTTTGACTTACCTACAGATGCACTGATTAACTAACTGACTTGCTGCATGACTGACTGACCGACTAAATAAATGACCGACTGACCTAAGGTCTGTTTCCACTTCTGGGCTAGCACCTGATGAGTTGACATCCCCACGACCCAGGGTCGTGTCGTGGATACCAGTCAAACAGAGTCAGCTCCCATACAGACCCGTCAATTTCCTAGTCGGTTATAATTAGGACCCCTCTTATCGCTAAAGAAAACACTACCCTTGAGTTGCCTGCAGTGTCTGGCAGGTGAGAGATATGAGTAGGCTTCGTCTCTCCTTCTTCTTGTCCTCTGGACGCTGTTTTGCCTTTTAGCGGCTGTACTGAAAACGACATATGGTATGTGCTACGTAGATGTTGGTATTTACGGCCTCAGGTATTCCATCTATACCTGGGTCGCGTTGTCGATCTCTGACTCTGCTTCCGTTGCGTCCAAGCGGCAGTGTTTGCTGTGGTGCACTATCTGGTGGACTGGTTGTCATCTTGACGCATATCCGGACCTCGTCTTGACGCATGTCGGGACCTCGTCTTGACGCATGTCGGGACCTCTTCTTGACGCATGTCGGAACCTCGTCTTGATGAATGTCGGGTCCTCGTCTTGATGAATGTCGGAACCTCGTCTTGACACATGTCCGGACCTCGTCTTTATGAATGTCGGGACCTCGTTTTGACACATGTCGGGACCTTGTCTTGACACATGTCGGGACCTCGTCTTGATGAATGTCAGGTCCTCGTTTTGACACATATCCGGACCTTGTCTTGATGAATGTCGGGACCTTGTCTTGACACATGTCCGGACCTCGTTTTGACACATGTCGGGTCCTCGTCTTGATACATGTCCGGTCCTCGTCTTGACACATATCCGGACCTTGTCTTGATGAATGTCGGGACCTCGTCTTGACACATGTCCGGACCTCGTCTTGATGAATGTCGGGACCTCGTCTTGACACATGTCGGGACCTCGTCTTGATGAATGTCGGGACCTCGTCTTGACACATGTCCGGACCTCGTCTTGATGAATGTCGGGACCTCGTTTTGACACATGTCGAGACCTTGTCTTGACACATGTCGGGACCTCGTCTTGATGAATGTCAGGTCCTCGTTTTGACACATATCCGGACCTTGTCTTGATGAATGTCGGGACCTTGTCTTGACACATGTCCGGACCTCGTTTTGACACATGTCGGGTCCTCGTCTTGACACATGTCCGGTCCTCGTCTTGACACATATCCAGACCTTGTCTTGATGAATGTCGGGACCTCGTCTTGACACATGTCCGGACCTCGTCTTGATGAATGTCGGGACCTCGTCTCGACACATGTCGGGACCTCGTCTTGATGAATGTCGGGACCTCGTCTTGACACATGTCGAGACCTCGTCTTGACACACGTCCGGACCTCGTCTTGACACATGTCCGGACCTCGTCTTGATGAATGTCGGGACCTCGTCTTGACACATGTCCGGTCCTCGTCTTGACCCATGTCTGAACCTCGTCTTGACACAAATCCGGACCTCGTCTTGACACATGTCCGGACCTCGTCTTGACACATGTCCGGACCTTGTCTTGACACATGTCGGGACCTCGTCTTGACACATGTCCGGACCTCGTCTTGACACATGTCCGGACCTCGTCTTGACACATGTCGGGACATTGTCTTGACACATGTCCGGTCCTCGTCTTGACACATGTCCGGACCTCGTCTTGACGCATGTCCGGTCCTCATCTTGACGCATGTCGGGACCTTGTCTTGACACATGTCCGGTCCTCATCTTGACACATGTCGGGACCTTGTCTTGACACATGTCCGGTCCTCATCTTGACGCATGTCGGGACCTTGTCTTGACACATGTCCGGTCCTCATCTTGACACATGTCGGGACCTTGTCTTGACACATGTCCGGTCCTCATCTTGACGCATGTCGGGACCTTGTCTTGACACATGTCCGGACCTCGTCTTGACACATGTCCGGACGTCGTCTTGACACATGTCCGGACCTTGTCTTGACGCATGTCCGGTCCTCGTCTTGACACATGTCGGGTCCTTGTCTTGACACATGTCCGGACCTCGTCTTGACACATGTCCGGACCTCGTCTTGACGCATGTCCGGTCCTCGTCTTGACACATGTCCGGACCTCATCTTGACACATGTCCGGTCCTCGTCTTCACGCATGTCGGGACCTCGTCTTGACACATGTCCGGACCTCATCTTGACACATGTCCGCACCTCATCTTGACACATGTCCGGACCTCGTCTTGACGCATGTCCGGTCCTCGTCTTGACACATGTCGGGACCTCGTCTTGACGCATGTCCGGACCTCGTCTTGACACATGTCCGGTCCTCGTCTTGACACATGTCGGGTCCTCGTCTTGACACATGTCCGGACCTCGTCTTGACACATGTCCGGTCCTCGTCTTGACACATGTCGGGTCCTCGTCTTGACACATGTCCGATCCTCGTCTTGACACATGTCGGGTCCTCGTCTTGACACATGTCGGGTCCTCGTCTTGACACATGTCCGGTCCTCGTCTTGACACATGTCGGGTCCTCGTCTTGACGCATGTCCGGACCTCGTCTTGACACATGTCGGGTCCTCGTCTTGACACATGTCGGGTCCTCGTCTTGACACATGTCCGGACCTCGTCTTGACACATGTCCGGTCCTCGTCTTGACACATGTCGGGACCTCATCTTGACACATGTCCGGACCTCATCTTGACACATGTCCGGACCTCGTCTTGACACATGTCGGGACCTCGTCTTGACACATGTCCGGTCCTCGTCTTGACACATGTCGGCACCTCATCTTGACACATGTCCGGACCTCATCTTGACACATGTCCGGACCTCGTCTTAACACATGTCGGGACCTCGTCTTGACGCATGTCCGGACCTCGTCTTGACACATGTCCGGACCTCGTCTTGACACATGTCGGGACCTTGTCTTGACGCATGTCCGGACCTCGTCTTGACACATGTCCGGACCTCGTCTTGACACATGTCCGGACCTCGTCTTGACACATGTCGGGACCTTGTCTTGACGCATGTCCGGACCTCATCTTGACACATGTCGGGACCTTGTCTTGACGCATGTCCGGACCTCGTCTTGACACATGTCGGGACCTTGTCTTGACGCATGTCCGGACCTCATCTTGACACATGTCGGGACCTCATCTTGACACATGTCGGGACCTTGTCTTGACACATGACCGGACCTCGTCTTGACACATGTCGGGACCTTGTCTTGACACATGTCCGGACCTCATCTTGACACATGTCGGGACCCCGTCTTGACGCATGTCCGGACCTTGTCTTGACACATGTCCGGACCTCGTCTTGACACATGTCGGGACCTCGTCTTGACACATGTCCGGACCTCGTCTTGACGCATGTCGGGTCCACACCTTGTCTCTTGATGTAGTTTAGCACAGCTTGATTTCCAACCCCCACATCTTTTTTGTCCCCTCGAATCATCATGTTTAATCCTGTCTTTCTTGTTTCATGCAGGATTGATATTAGATTTTTCGTCTCTGTTGTTTTAGTTTTTCGTTTTTCTTTCCTTGTTAATGTTCGCGTTTGACTCAGCTTGATCGGTGTTTTAAAAAAAAAAAAAAATTTTTTTTTTTTTTTGAATGGTGCTCTCGTGGTGCCAACGGCACTGTCATTAGGCCCTTGATTGTACACGTTGTATGTAACGTTTCAGGGAAAGGCCCTAGTATCTGGGACACGTTCACCAGCGAGTCTCGCAGAATCATCAATGGAGAGGACGGAAAGGTTGCCTGTGATAGTTACCACAGGTACAAGGAGGACGTGCAGCTACTCAAGGAACTGGGGGTAGGTTTATTGGCTGGTCAAGTTGATACAAACACACACAGACACACAGCGAGAAAGATACAGAGAGAGATCGCGAGAGATAGAGAGAGAGAGAGAGAGAGAGAGAGAGAGAGAGAGAGAGAGAGAGAGAGAGAGAGGCGAAACAGAGGTTAACAGATGTACAAATCCAGATGTTCTTTATGGTTTATACTACAAATCACTATAGCTCCACACAGGTAGTAACCCATAAGTGCTCCGTTCCTGTCCCAACATCACAACAAACAGGTCACCCTAGAGTTCCTCCGTTGCTTTCCTAGCATCACAACAAACAGGTCACTCTAGAGTTGCTCCGTTCCTTTCCTAACATCACAACAAACAGATCAATCTAGAGTTGCCCCGTTCCTTTCCTAGCATCACAACAAACAGGTCACTCTAGAGTTGCTCCGTTCCTTTCCTAACATCAAAATAAACAGGTCCCTCTAGAGTTGCTCCGTTCCTGTCCCAACATCACAACAAACAGGTCACTCTAGAGTTGCTCCGTTCCTTTCCTAACATCAAAATAAACAGGTCACTCTAGAGTTGCTCCGTTCCTTTCCTAACATCAAAACAAACAAGTCACCTAAGAGTTGCTCCGTTCCTTTCCTAACATCACAACAGGTCACTCTAGAGTTGCTCCGTTGCTTTCCTATCATCACAACAAACAGGTCACTTTAGAGTTGCTCCGTTCCTTTCCTAACATCACAACAAACAGGTCACCCTATAGTTGTTCCGTTTCTGTCCCAAACGGAGCACCACGCCGAGTGTCCATCACAGACTGTAGTTTAAGCTAAGCCAGTAGCGCGAGCAAACACACACATACACACACATACATAAACACACAAACACACATTTTTAATGCGAAAGGCAGTTGCCAGAATTGCCAACACAAACAGTCCGACACTAGAAATGCAGTTAATCGGTGTTGGAAGCGGCAGTCACAAGAGATCAATAGTTGCGCACGCAACTCTGGCAACTGGCTACTCGCTAATTGTTGAAGCTACAGTTCACATCACAAACCACATTGGGCACAGTCGAGAAGTACAAAGCCAGAGGCAAAGCCTAACACTCAAACAGTAATCTTTATTTCTGTCTGTGTACGTAGTTTACGGGTTGTGAACGTAATTTTACACTTCCGACATACCAAGGTTCGAAATCCGCTGCAGACTGTATGGCACCAGACTGCTTTGTGTTGATTTTGACATCAGTCTAAACGTTGTATTGTTCAGAAAGCAAAGGCAAACTACGGAAAGTAAATTTACTTAGTAATACCACATTACTGCTAACTAATGCTGTAGTTGTTGTGTGGCGTGCTGAAAATGATTTGCATCTAATTGTTGTGTTTTGTTTGCCAGGTCAGCCATTATCGGTTCTCTATTTCCTGGCCACGTATATTGCCAGATGGGACAACTAAATTCATCAACAAACCTGGTTTGGACTACTACAACAGGTTAGTGAAAAATTGATCGAAATGGTAAAAGATAAATGAATGAATAAATGAGTAACTTGCTGCTATCTGTTTGTGCCTGTCTCGCTCGTGTGTTCTGTATTTTTTTTTTCGTACTACCGCATTATTGTTCGTATTTGTGGCAGCCTCTATTTGTGTAATGTGCTGATGAAGGATTTTTAGCCGCAACGTTCACTTGTCTTTTTGTTTTGATGTGGTTAACATCACGCCGGCCGCTTTTGCTTCCCAGGACTTTACCTAGTACACACTTAAGGCTGTGTCGACCTAGAAGCCAAGGTCATTTCTTGAGAAAACAAGTCCGAATACTCTGGATTTGAACCCACGACCTTCAGATTTGCGGGAGAGCGTCTAGTCACTACACCACGACGGCTCCCTGTTACATAATCAAGACATTTAAATTGTCCTCTTTTGCTCCTAATAAATAGTTCTGATTGTGTTTACATTTAAAGAAGATATTTTCATTGCACTTTGCATCGGTCTAAGACGATCTCAGCACACTTCTATACAACCAACACCGACCGAACACACAAATAGTTCAATCTGCCAACTGTTTTCTTGTCTGCCTTTGTCCTACCAGGCTGATCAACGAGCTGAAGAAAAACGGGATCGAACCAATGATTACCCTCTACCACTGGGACCTGCCCCAAGCGCTAGAAGACAAGGGCGGTTGGCTAAATGAGGAGATTGTGGAGTACTTCAGAAACTACTCCGATGTGGTCTTCAAAGAGTTTGCTCCGAAAGTAAGTACCGTTGTGTCACAATGCGAGACTTGACTTACTAGTGCATTTCTAGGCTATGTAGATGCGCAGTCTATCACAGGACCAGGAAATGCAAGCTGAAATCTGAAATGTAATTGCAGGGCTGTCCAGATCCTTAGATATGGCTGGATGCTGGCTTAGAAGGGAAGCGTCTTCATGCGGGTAGGCACAGACTGTTCTGATTAGCGTTTGTGCAGTATTATTTCTTGCTAGTACATTTCTTTTGGAGTAAATAAAGCAGGCGGGAAAGGATTAATGCTGTCTTTACAACACATGATTCCTACAATAATGACGGGGGTTTGTGCTGTAGAGAGAAGACACTTCATCCCGAGCCTGAAATTGTATCGCTATGGGCTGTAATTCAATGTTTCTTAACAGTACAATGGAATTCTATCTTTTGGAAAAGATGGAATGGTACCAGCAGAAATAGTGGCTCGGTCTCAGTTCTTAAGACCGATGTTCGGGGTCAGGTTGATGAAGTTCTTTCTCCTGACCTAGCACGAAACTACAAATCTGTTTGGGGACCGTGGTGAGGATTTGTTTCACTCTGTCCAGACACAGAAGCCCGAGCCGTAGGTAACACCGGCAACACAACTTTCCATCTTCTGAGAGGAACCGGCCAATCAAATCTCCTTCTCAAATGCAAAAAAGAGCTTCTCCGCGATCTGCCATCTTCAAAAGCATTATCAGTTCCTGTGCTGATAGCCTCCATGTCAGGACAAAAGGCTGACTCTTCTGCTGTTATCTTTTTCGGTCTTTCTTCCCGTATATCTTTAAAGTGGTCACAGCATGTTCCAATTTCCTTCTTCTGGGAATTTTATCAAAAAGTGATAACTTTTTTTTTCATATGTTTGTGAGCCCTCAACTCTTTCATAATATCTGGCTGGGATTGCTCACCCTCCCCGCCCCCTCCCTTTCAAGTGATGGCACAGCGTTAATATTTACGTATATATGGGAGGCTGACTTCAGACACACAATATACCCCAGTATTAAATGAATATTCCTTGTATCTGTGGTAACAGGTGAAATTGTGGATTACATTCAACGAGCCACTTGTGACAGCTTATCAAGGATATGGCACTGACTTGTTCGCACCTGGAAGATGGGGCCCTGGCACCAACACATACACAGTGGCCTACAATCAGATTAGAGCCCACACGGCAGCCTATCGCCTGTACGACAGTACCTACAGGAAACTAAGTCCAGGTGGCGCTGGTGAGTTATTTCCTCAGTGAAAACTTGTCTTCATTTGCATTTTGTTGTTGTGTACTTTTGTTGTTGTTGTAATACTCATGGCGTTGTCTGTGCACAGCCTTCTATTGTGTGTACTTACAATAGTTTCTGGCACGGATGATATTCCATACTTAGTGGTGTTGGTAGTCATGTCTATCAAAGAACCCTCTGTCGCGTATGCTTACATCCATTTGTGGCATGGATGTTCTCCCATAACTTGTGGCGTTCAGAGTCATGTCTATCCAGAACCTTCTGACTCGTGTGCTAACAGTCATATCTGAAACATATGATCTTCCATAAATTGTGAGGTGGGAAGTCATGTCTCCTATACATAACCTTTAGTTTCGCGTGCTTACAGTCATTTCTGGTACCTTTGATTTTCCATATCTATTGGCTTTGGTAATTATGTATTTTCACAAGCTTTCGTCTGGTATACTTGCAATAATTTCTGGCACAAATGATCTTCCTTACCTGGTAGCATTTGTTTGTCATGTCCCATATCCACAATCGTCTGTCTCGCCTGCTTAAAATCATTTCTGGTACATTTGAGTTTCCATATTTTGTGGCTTTTGTAATCATGTTCATTCAAAACCTTCTGTCTCGTGTATTTTTATTAAAAACTGAGAAATATGATCTTCCATGCCATGTTGTCAAACTGGCCACTATCTTCTCTCTCTCAGTCTCCCTCTGCCTCTCTTCTTCTATAGCTTTCCCCTTTTTATCTACAGGCTTTTATTCATTCGTTTATCTAAGTATCCATTCGTCCACACAATTGTTCTGCCACTAATTCAGTTTATTTTTTACCCATAAATCCATTTCTTTTTAATCCCAACTGTTTTGTTATTGATGCAATAATTCATAATTAATTCAATTAATGTATTCATTGAACTTTTCAGCTATTTATTGACACATTTATTGATGCATTCACGGAAGAACACATACATTCATCCATATATCAACCTGTTCAGTCAATCATAATTCTTACACCTAAGAAAAAGCAAGACGCGAGACAAGAAAAGACAATGCTGGTCAGGATAAGTAGAATGTCCGCTCTGAATTGCAAAAGACAGCTAGGTTCAGGGAAGACAAGCGCTTTTCTCGTCCAGGGATCTTTAAATGTTGCTCACGACCCAGGCAATATATATGTATATAATCAGTTACGCAACAACAGTGACAACAGATAACAGCATAGGCAACACCTAGCCAAAACACTTGCATGAACCACAACTTATGATCTCAATGAACAAATGGAATAACATGATCATGCTCAACAGGGGTGGGTTTTTTTTTTTTTAAATTCTGAAACACAAACAAGCGTTCTTTATAGATAACAACACAATAAGAACAATATGTTCGGGGGGAAAACATCAGCTATCCACTCTAGCCAGCAAAGAGAGTAATCGCCATTCACTTCAACACACACACACACACAAAGAAGGAAAGAATCCTACTATAAAACATTTGCCTGAAGATACACATGGCAATATATATTTAAATTCAAAGGATGTATCATAGAAACACGAAAACCCTGTGAGCCAATTCACCTGAATATCACTTTCGGTGTAAGTACATGTGTACAACAGCGAACAATCAGACAAATCGGCAATACGCTGTACATAACAAACAGACATCCACTGTAACTAAATCCTTTAATTTTGTTCAGAATCGACATGCCACACATCTGTCTCTAACACTAGGAAGCTTCATCTTCGTACACTCCTGCTTGGCTCTCTAGAACTACCTCTGATTCCCACAACCAGAAATTGCAGTTTCCCTTTGTCGAGACATCCCTGCTTCTCAGGGCTACAATGATTTGTCGCTGCTTATTTTGGCCCCTCTGTTGTGGCGCAGTTTCTCCTCCAGTCGCAGTTGACTTTCACCCCCAAGCCATGATACATCGGGAGTCACAGCGGTGGAGCGGCTAGACGCTCGCCATGGATCGGAAGGCCGTGGGTTCGCTTCTTAGCGGAGCCGGACATTTTTCAAATAGGACCTTGGCTCCCAGGCCGACCCAGCCTTGAGTGGGTACCGGTTGCAGTCCCTAGAAGTAGTGACGGACGGCGTGATGCTGACCACATCACCCATCTTGTGCTGATTGGTCTATAAAATACAGTTCTAGCCCTATATGCCCTATACGCCTAAAGGCGTGGAAAATGGTCCTTTACTTTACTTACCATGTTACATCATTTTCCATGTGATCGGAAACCGCTCCTAAAGTCAAGTTATTCATTCCATGCATTCAATAAATCAGAGTATGTGGCATCTAATTATCTTTTACAGGACAGATCGGTATCACACTTAGTGCTACCTATGGTTTCCCTAAGAACAGTTCGGACCCAGCAGATGTCGAGGCCACAGAACGAGGGATCCAGTTCAACTTTGGGATCTTCCTCAATGCTGTTGTTGAAGGTGGGTCCCACACTGACCTAGTTAGTGTCGTGTCTAGTCTTTCTGTCTGTCTGTCTTTCTATCTATATCTATTTTTCTTTTTTACTTTAGTTCTTTCTGTGATTAGGGTCCTTTGTCAGATTTTGAAAACATATTTCTTAGGTAACATTACATAAATGGCAATTATGAGCCCCGTTTGATAACAATGAAAATGTAAAAAAAAAAAAATACAATGGTACGGACAGATAACAATATCAACTGGCTTTTACACAGTTATTCTTTTGGGCGCAGGAGAATAGAAGAGCTAAACACAGACTTGGATACTGAACATATGGCTGAATGGACATGCTTAAACATGCACAAGTGATGCCTATTGTATCTGACCAGCTGCTGACCCAAAGACACGCGATTTTCATAGGACTCTGATAAGTCATAATGTTCAGTTACTTTTGTGGAAGGTAAATAGATACCACACATCGTGTTCCCAGGAAACAGATTAGGATAGGTTTGGATCAACACGGAATGACTCTAATCATTGCTACTCATCATGCTCTGGATGGCCAGCAGTTGAAACCCACGACGCTTAACACCAAAAGTTGGCATTGATGATGATGATTGTGATAAAACTGAAGAAGTATCAAAAACGTAGTAATTAGTTTTTGCCTGTCTGCAGACTTTTATATCCAAACATTTGCCAAGTTCTAGATTAAGTCGTTCTAGATTGATACAGACTATAATAGTACAAAGAAATGTGCAGAGAAACAAAGTCGGTAGATCGGATGCTAACAACACAATCCATCGAATGTCCTTTAATCTCTACAGCTATGAGTCAAGTATGTCGTATCAAATGCATAGGAAACCTGAGAGTTCAAGTCAATTTTATAATAACCCACTAACCAGCGAGTTCGATCGAACACAAGAACTTAGGTCGGCAGCAGCGTCACCGCTCATATACTTAGCAGTGCCGAGGCGTGATCAATTGAGATGTTTGAGCGTTAGCAGGTAATGATTACAATAGAGAGAGTGTGACGTGATATTTTCCTCCTCATCGCTTCGTTGTGGAGAATATGCATGCGCAGCTAGCATTGAAGTACTTAATCCTAATTAATTGCAGGAATTCACAAGTTACAGTTTTTTGCGCGAACAGCGTAAGCATACATCGGGCTTTCTTTTCGCTATATCTAAGGCGAAAACTTACAGTATTTTTTAGTAAGCAGTAAAATGTGTACAGTAAAATATTTTTTCTTTGGTAATGGAAAGTGTAAACGGAGTTTACAACTCTTACATACACATCTCGCCACTGATACTTAACAATTTAAAGTGTTTTTCCTCCATTTCACCCTTGTATCCGACAGGTGACTACCCAAGTGTTGTCAAAGCCAAAGTCCAAGAGAAGAGCCAGAAGCTTGGACTGCAGACGTCACGACTTCCAGCCTTCACCCCACAGGAAGTGGCACTCAACAAAGGTATGCTGGGAATGTCTCTTTGGTAGATTATAACGGGGCAAGTGCTTAGTGCTCAGTCATTTCGAAAGTTGAATGCATTCAAACACAAATGTCTAAGGAAAATAATGAACATAAAATTGCAAGAATTCAAGAGGGATTAGGAAATAATATAAATGATTTGACTACCATTAGTATCAAGAGTTATAAGAGCAGCTGGCACTGAAATGGGCACGTAGAGAGGTAAAGGTAAAGTCGTGAGATGTCAACCAGCGTTATTGCACACGGTTATAAACCATAAGTGCTCTGTCACTAGTACGGACCGCTGATAAGAAACTGTCTGCCTGTATTGCCGTCCGCGCGTAACTCCGTAGCTACAGTGACATTCCTCCATCAACCGTAAAATGTTAACTCTGGTACTTATTACCTAGAGGCTGGGTGAACCCCGGGAACCGTCAGGTTTCTAACACCGGCCGTGGTCTGCAGCGAGTTGCAGCTGGATTTGAAAGAGTCTCCTATCGACTACGCTAATGCGGCCCCTGGACACGCAATGGACACTTTCTGAGAAGAAACGAGCGGTAAATCACCAAACAGGCACTGAAACGGGAAACCAAGGTTCGGTGGCGGAAACAAAGATGTCTAAGAGAAACACTAAGACCAGAGTCAATGAGATAAGCCAAAATTGACGGACAAGATTCCATCCATGATATGAAGTGACTGCACACGATAAAACGGAGTGGAGGAATAGACTGTGAGTGCTGTGTGCCATATTATGACACGACACGACAAGGAATGAATGAATGAATTTCCCTATGAGGCTGAACTATCAGTACCCAGGACTTGCATGCTTCGAGCAGAGCCCAGGGGCTATGCTGGTAAGCGTTGTGTTGTTCGTCTATGACAATGGAACCAATGCAGCTATAGCCATATATAGCAGATCCTTGCTCCCTTTACAGTTTGTTGGAACGCCTCTCATTCTTTTACCAATTTATCCTGCCTTCTGTGCTTCAATTTCAATATTTCTCTAACGTTCTGTGTCCAGTTTTGCAGTGGTCACACGCTGCTTCTACTTCACAAACTTGCCTTCCGTCATCACTCTTTCTAACTTACTGCGAATTCGATCGCACACAAGAACTTCAGATCAGCAGCAGCGTAACCGCTCATATGCTTTGCAGTGCCGAGGCGTGCTCAACTTAGATGTGTCCGCATTAGTAGGAAACGATTACATTGGAGAGAGTGTCATGTGATATTTTCCTCCTTATCGCTTCGCTGTGAAGAATATGCTTGCGCAGATAGCATTAAAGAACTTAATACTAATTAGTAGCATAAATTCACACGATACAAGGTTAATCATCTAAATGTTTCAGTTTCCAAGAGATGACACAGTTAACGAGACAGTTTTTCTTATAGATTTTTATACCCACTTCATTGATTCCAGCTACGGGCGACTAGGCAAAGCAGACTTCGCTGGTTTCGACAGTGATATGGAACCGACTGTTAGGAAAACAAAGTGTCTGGCAAGTCTAGCCTTTAGAGCAGCAATAATACGTAAAGATTTACATGGCAGTAGGACTACTGTCCTAGCACGAAATCGCTCCATCACAGATGCCACAAATATATGTATATAAAAGAAATCAATGTCAATATAAACATCAACTAGTTCACAGCAAAAGAACTAAATGACACACTATTACGTTTGTCTTGCAGGCAGTGCAGATTTTGTCGGTGTCAATTATTACTCGTCTGTTGTTGTTGCATCAGCTGAAAAGCCCTATGACCCTCCCGATTTTCTCAACGATATGGACATAGAGCAAAGCATAGACCCCTCATGGACAAGGTTGGTCTGTTTATGTTATACAGATTCTTCTGCTTATTGTGTTCTTTGCTTTGTGATCCTTTTTGTCTTCCTGTTCTCTTCTCTTTCCAATGCTTCTTCTTCTTCTTCTTTCTTCTTCTTCTTCTTCTTCTTCTTCTTCTTCTTCTTCTTCTTCTTCTTCTCTTCTTCTTCTTCTTCTTCTTCTTCTTCTTCTTCTTTTTCTTCTTCTTCTTCTTCTTCTTCTTCTTCTTCTTCTTCTTCTTCTTCTTCTTCTTCTTCTTCTTCTTCTTCTTCTTCTTCTTCTTCTTCTTCTTCTTCTTCTTCTTCTTCTTCTTCTTCTTCTTCTTCTTCTTCTTCTTCTTCTTCTTCCTTCTTCTTTCTTTTTCTTTCTTCAACTTCTTCGTCATCTCATCTTCCTCCTGCTCCTTCTCTTATCCTTTTCGGGAATTCAGAGCTTTATGATGTTCTGTTTCTCGCTTGTCTCACCGTCTGGATCATAAACTCTTGATATTGTTAAACTAAAGTTATAGTGTTGTTTATCCCAGGTCGAGTTTTACGTCCATTATCCCACGTCGGATTATACGTCCTTTATCCCAGGCGTCGGATTATACGTCCTTTATCCCAGGTCGGGTTATACGTTCGGTTTCTCTTCTGGTATATACGTTGTTCAGTAAAGTAGTAAAGTATCCCAGATCATTCTAAGCCAACCGTTTTATTTTATATCTGTGTGTGTAATTTAGTATTAGTCAGTTCAGAATTCTTATTTTTTTTTAAACGATTTCATTTTCTTTTTGTATGTCTTGTGGTCTCCTGCCATTTTCTTCAGACTTCTCATTTCAGTAGCTACTAGTTCATTTCCTTCTCGTTCAGCGGTTGTATACTCCAGCGGAAAGTTCTGGTTGTTTGTCCCTCTCTGGGTTTTGGTCTTCTTCTAGAACAGTGGTTCTCAACTTGCGGGTCGCGACCCTTTTTTGCGGTCGAACGACCCTCTCACAGGGGTCGCCTAAGACCATTGAAAAACACATATTCGTTGAAGTTATGAAGGAAGATCTTTGTTTGTGGGTAGACTCAACATGAGGGAACTGTATTAACGGGTTGCGGCGTTAGCAAGGTTGAGAGTCATTGTTCTAGAACTTGAGTTTTGCGTTAATATCCGTTTTACAGATCAGATTTATTTGTTAGCAAACAGCTTAGAAAGAGGCACCCCGACTTCTAAGGAAGCTGCATAATAATCACTAGACTTTCACGACATGCTTGTTAGGATGGGCAACTGGTCCCCCCCCCCCCCCACCCCCCTCAATAAGGCCCGGGAATGAACCTGTCTCAGACAAAATCTTTCTATAGCTACAAGTTCTAGTGTCTGTATTTATGTGGCTGACCATTTCCGGCACTGGTAGCAAAGGATGAGGATAAATTCACTTTGTATGAGATGTGTTTTTTTTTATAATATAGGATCTGGGTGGAGATTTTTAGCTAGAATGAAGGGAAAACTTGTCGCAGAACACAGTAGAGCTTTTTTATCTACAACGTCAAGCATGAGAATGGAAGTGGAGGCAGCTCTGATTTGGAAAGCAGAAAACAAAAGTCACTAGAAAACTTATTGTGTCTGATTGTCAGTCGGCATTGCGGAAGGTTCAAAATGGACTAATGTGGCATGAGAGGATACCATGTATCAGTACGCCAAACATTGCAGGGAATCACTTGGATATACTGTCCGGGATATGCAGGAGTGCGAGGTAATGAAAGAGCGGATTTTCTGGCTACAAAAGCGAAAGCTACGTGAACACTCGTACTGGACAAGGGAGATATTCTGAAGACTGTATGTGAACGACTGCTGACAGAAGACACGAGATTAGATGAAATAACAGGAAAGAATGTGTAAACAAAGAATTAAGTGTGGATCTGGCAAGGAGGGACCGATGAGAGGAAGAGAACGACGTTTATGTAATCAGTGTGCTACAGGAACAGTTAGCATCCACACCTTTAAGACATTTGCTGTAGGAGACGGAGCACCTATGGGTATGCCCGGTGTGCTATGATGTCGATTCTTAAATCAGTAATCAGTTTCTTTCTGTTGGTTGGGACTGTCTTATGACTTTTTTTTATCACTGGTAATCTAGCTCGGGGTCGGAATGGCTGTACAGTGTCCCACTGGGGTACCGAGGACTTCTCAACTGGATCAAAGACAAATACAACAACATCCCCGTGTACCTCACAGAGAATGGGGTTTCGGACAAAAACGGGACCCTGAGAGATGCTCACAGAATCACCTATTATCGTCAACATCTCAATCAAGTTCTGAAAGGTGAAATGATATTCCTTGTTGCTGTTTCTGTTGGTTGGTTTGTGCTTTGTTTGTATGGGTGCATGGCTGGCTTGCCTGGGTTATGATTGGTCAGTTGGATGGATGTTTGTTTGATTGATGATTGGTTATTTGGATGGATGGTTGGTTTGATTGGTGATTGGTTGGATGGATGGATGAATGCATGGAGGAATAAATGTATGGATGGATATTTTTTCGACTGATGGTTGGTTATTTTGATGGGTGATTGGATAGTTTGACTGATGATTTGTTGGATGGATGAATGGATGGATGGATGGATGGATTGATGGATGGATGGATGGATGTTTTGATTGGTGGTTGGTTGGATGGATGTATGGAGGGATGGATGGTTTATTTGACTGATGATTGGTTGGATGGATGGACGGAAGGATGGATGGATGGATGGTTTGACTGATCATTAATTGGTTTGATGGATTGATAGTTGGTCTTATTGATGACTGGTTGGCTGGATGCATGGATGGCTGACTGATGATCGGTTGGATGGATAGATGGGTGATTTTATTAATGAATGTTTGCATCGATGGATGGATGATTGACTGGTTGAATGGATAGATATTTGGTCTGACTAATGATTGGTTGGTTGGTTAAGTGGTTGAATGGTTGGATAAATGGTTTCAAAGTGATTGGGAGTTTGGAAAAGGAATTGTTCTATTGGTTGGCTGACTGGTTAGTTAACTCAAGGATTGGTTTGTTGGATGGTGGGTTGGTCGACTGAATGGTTGGCTGACTGGTTAGTTAACGCAAGGATTGGTTTGTTAGACGGTTGTTTGGTCGATTGCATGGTTGACTGACTGGTTAGTTAACGCAAGGATTGATTTGTTGGACGGTTGTTTGGTCGATTGAATGGTTGGCTGACTGGTTAGTCAACACAAGGATTGGTTTGTTGGATGGTGGGTTGGTCGATTGAATTGTTGGCTGACTGGTTAGTCAACACAAGGATTGGTTTGTTGGACGGTTGTTTGGTCGACTGAATGGTTGGCTGACTGGTTAGTTAACACAAGGATTGGTTTTTGGGACGGTTGTTTGGTCGATTGAATGGTTGGATGGTCTATTAAATTGTTGAATAAAGAATCTTTGTTGCATAGCTGCGGTTTTGACAGCTCTTGAAACAAACTCACAGCTTTTGTAGCACAATATAAACGGCTGAACCATTAGAAATGATAAGTCCCTGTTATTATTATAGTCTTCATCATGATCATTATCATCATTATTAGTATTACTGGCATACAACCCATCCATACAACATGCAGAGATACAAAATATATACACTTGCTATGCTTGTGTGTTTATATTTTTTTTTCAAGTAACTTTAAATTTCATTTTGATTTCCATGTACACATTACATGTTACTACTGCTTACTGCTTCTTCAGTCAGAAGACTTGAGGTGTCCACTTCTGTTGCTCTTACATTTCAGCCATTAGACTGGACGGGTGTGATGTTAGAGGCTACACCGCTTGGTCACTTATGGACAACTTTGAATGGGCCCAGGGCTACTCTGAGAAATTCGGCCTCTACTCGGTGGACTTCACAAACCCCAACAGAACCAGAACCCCCAAGGCTTCGGCCGTCTATTATGCCAACGTCATTCGAGACAACGGCTTCAAGAAAGGATACAGGTTGGTACTCAATGAATGAATGAATGAATGAATGAATGAATGAATGAATGAATGAATGAATGAATGAATGAATGAATGAATGAATGAATGAATGAATGAATGAATGAATGAATGAATGAATGAATGAATGAATGAATGAATGAATGAATGAATGAATTGTTAGTACCTGCTCCGTTTCCTTTCTCGGTAGCCAAGTAAGAGTCGACACGCCTATGTTTCCCTCTCAATATTAAATATCTTCCAGAGACTCTACTTAACACTCATTGTTGTTATGTTAGTTGCGTATCCTTTAAAGGACGTTGCAGAACCAACCCCAGAATTGTTAGCTGCGTACCCTTTACATGACGTTGCAGAACGAACACCATAATTTTTTGGCTGTAGGGATTTTTCTAGGGGTAAATTTACGTCCAGTAGTTTGCCATTGCTTTTTGGGCGGACGGCTGTCGATACCACTGTCGAAACCAACGCAAGGCGCAAGACCCGCAGCTGGGATCGAGCCTGGTACCACAGAATTACGAATGGCGTTAGCAACGCCTAAGCCACAGACCATCACTCATAGAATGAGTCACTGTATGTATGGATAGTATGTGTCTTATTGCCAAGTACGTTTGATTCCAGAGAGTCTTCGTCACATCTGTTTTTAACATAAAGCAGCTCATTGCAAAGAGGGGTGGCAGCAGCCTATCTATCAGTATGCTCATAGCCCCCGCACACCACGTGTACAGTATGTGTGGCTTTGCTACGCACATACACATCAAATCTGTGACATTACCATGCGTATATCTTCGTCTGTATTCACACGATCCTTAGATATCTCACTTTAAACATATCTTCTCTTTTACAGATCATGAAAACATATAAAACCAAACGAAAAGTAGAACCAGTCGGCTTTACAATATTACAAACAAAAATAACAAGTGAACGTTGCGGCTAACGAGACACATTACGAAAATTCGCAACATCTTAAGTAAACTGTAGTGGTCAAGACATTTGCCTCGTGCTTTGATGGTTGTGAGTTTGGTTCACGAACTGCCCCGCTTGGTTCACGAACTGCCCCGCTTGGTTCACGAATGCACGTAGTTCCTCTTGTATGACGCTCTTGGCAGGCAGCAAACCTATTTGTGGAAAAGGACCGAACTATTCAGGACACAACGCAGTAAACGATAGATATGTTCAAATATCGCAACCATGTTGTAAACAAACAACGCTTTTCGACTTCGGATGAACGCAGAAAATATACTTTATTCCTTCCTTATGGGATTGTTCTTCTTCTTCACTTCATCTTTTTCCACTTCCGGTATCGAAGGAGATATAAGATTCGGCTTCTTGGTCTTTCAGCCATCTCGATCATAGAATGTAACACCGAGGTGTTGACCCAGTTTGTGGCCCTTTGGAAATAACAGTCGTACGTTCTTATATAAGCTAGTGTAGCTTATCTACAAAATTATTTTATAACATACACACATAATCTATGATGAACATACACATAATCTATGATGAACATACACATAATCTATGATGAACATACACACATAATCTATGATGAACATACACACACAATCTATGATGAACATACACACATAATCTATGATGAACATACACACATAATCTATGATGAACATTCACATAATCTATGATGAACATACACACATAATCTATGATAAACATACACACATAATCTATGATGAACATACACACATAATCTATGATGAACATACACATAATCTATGATGAACATACACACATAATCTATGATGAACATACACACATAATCTATGATGAACATACACACATAATCTATGATGAACATACACACATAATCTATGATGAACATACACACATAATCTATGATGAACATACACACATAATCTATGATGAACATACACATAATCTATGATGAACATACACACATAATCTATGATGAACATACACATATTCTATGATGAACATACACACATAATCTATGATGAACATACACACATAATCTATGATGAACATACACACATAATCTATGATGAACATACACATAATCTATGATGAACATACACACACAATCTATGTAGTATCACTACAAACATTGACCTGCGTTCTTCTGTGTCCTGTCTTCCCCCCAGTGGACGTGGTGGTCAGCCAACGGGTATCGTCAAACTGGAGAACGACACCCGCATCTTGTATGACCAGTTCCCAGAAGGCTTCGCTTGGTCCACGGCAACTGCAGCCTACCAGGTGGAGGGCGGGTGGGACGCCGATGGTGAGTTTGTAAATTTTTTGAAGTTTCATTGAAAAAATGGGAGCTAACGCGGTGAAGCGACTAGATACTCACGTGCGGATCCGAAGGTGATGGGTTCAAATCCGAACGGAGCGGACGTGTGTACCAGGTTAAGTCCTGAGAAGTTAAGATGGTTATTGTGATGTTGACCAAATCACTCACCGAGTGCAGATTGCTCTTTAAAATTTAGGAGCCCTATATGCCAAATATGCCTGAAGGCGGGCTAAAAAGTCCTCGACTTTTACATTGAGCAAGGGAGTCATGGAACCGGCACCATAATGGCAAGACGCTGGTCTGTGATTGCTCTATGTCCTCATCCTTTGTGTAGGCCTTTTATCGCATGGCGTCATTATACATCATCTGTAGATTGGCAACAATTTGGATTTTCTGTTCTTACACATGTAACAGGCTGGGGAAGTAGGTTTAGCCTGTTAATAATTTTAAATTTGGCTGAACTAAAATTGGCAGGTTAAGAGTTCGGAACTCTCCAGAAGTGGTCAATCGATAAAGACAAACTCAATTAAAGGCCTGGCGTAGCAGAAAAAGACTGCTTTCGCTCTTAGGTCTGGTCAGTCACCCTAAGGACCCTCCTATTGTTGCGGAGCTGTGCAGGGTTCTTAACGCAACGTAGGTACGACGAACTGAGCCGAGAGAGATGAACTGGTTCACTGGTTTTTTTTTTTTTGTGGTGGTACGTTCAGTGGTTATTGCTAGATATAGATTTTCATTGTGCATTCTAGCTCGAAGATGGTGATTGCAGGTCGCTGGATGCGAAATCTCATCTTCGTTAGCTTAAGTAATTAGTACATGGTCTGTTCGAACACGTTGTTGATTGTTAATGTATTGTTATCTGTGAAGCACGCTGCTTTTGTGTACAGGAAAAAACAAACAGACATTGAATGTGTTGATTATATTCTATTTCTTTGATTCAGAATAAGACGTGTAGTTCGTGCATCTGGTCTAACTAGGCGCTGCCCGTGTAGTTATATGTTGTAGTTGTTGAGGCGTATTTCACTATTTAAATACTCATCGCCTGGGTCATGCAAATATGTCATGGTTTCTGCACCAAAAAAAACTCTTGTCTTTTCTTTATTTTTTCTGTTTTTGCGGTTCAGCGGGAACTACTTACTGTCCTGACTACATTTCCTTCCCTGTCTCCCTACTTGTTCTTTCTTTTTTCGCTGCTCCTTACCTCATACATACTTTGTGCCGACGTATTCTCTAATGACTTCATTCCTAATGTCTTTCTCTTTTGGTAACTCCTGCAGCTTTTCTGTGACATTTATTCTCACTGGTTTCTAATTTTTTTTTGTTTTGTTTGTTTGTTTGTTTGTTTGTTATGAGTGACCATGGCTGGTACTGGTATCATAGGGTGAGGATAAATATGTTCTGTATAAGATATTCCTGTGATCGCCTATGTTTTTCGGCATGACAGATGGTAATGGTCACTACCTACGGAACACGCTTCCAGGTGTGAACAAAAAAAGTTCTCTGTCTCAATAGACTGCAGAGTTCCAATTAGCAGAGTCAATGCTGTGTCTAATTTCATGACCTAATTATTTCAAATTTACGTGATTCAGTTAATTTCCTGAGGCCCCGGAAAGTTTTCTCACACAAGAATCCTTAGAATATCTTGAACATGAAAAAGAGTAACTCAGGTGTTGTAAAATAGGCGGGGGCTCGAAGATAACCTATAGCAAACAAACAAACAAACAAACAAACAACGACGGTCTTTATTTTGTGGTCATGCTAGAAGGAAGGAAACTGAAACATGTGACCTCTAGACATTTTTTTTTTTCTACACCTATCGGAAATTGGCGTCTGTGGCTTAGGCGTTGCGAATCAGACTCGTAACTCCAACGTACCGCGATCGAAACCCTCTGCTGGCTGCATGGATTGTTATCATGGTAAGGAGTGTCACATGTCGACCCAGTCTAAAAAGGGTACCAGGATGGCTGTCCTGGGTAAGTAAAGACGGCCGGCGAAATGCTGACCACATTGCCCACGTAGTGCCAACTGGTCTGTATTTCGTTCGGGTTTATATCTTTTCTTGTAAAATCATGGGTGCTCTTCCCATATGCCCGATGCGCCTAAAGGCGTGAAAAAGGATCTTTACTTTGCTTTACTTATCTGGAAATTGTCTAATTTTGTGATCAAAGGTTTTACTCTGGAATTTGCTTTCAGATGCCTTTGACTCTCGTTTCACGTCTTTGGGGATTGTCCAACTTTCGCTGGTATCTGTTCAAAACGTAATTTCTATCAATCGAACAGCAGGACCTTTACAGAACGTCGCTCTCTTCATGTCTCTCTTTCTCCAACAAATTCTCCAGCCCTGTTTGATTTCATAGCTAATGCATCTTCACCGTCCTGTATCCACCCACCTTCACGGTGGACTACCTCTGCCTCGTTGAAATAATGTTAGAATTTTTCAAAAACTGGCTGAACGGACTGCTATGTTGAATATCCCATCACCCATTGAAGTATCAAATCGGTTTAAAGTAGAGGTTGCCTTCAGTGTCGTGTGTTTGTGTTCAGGCAAAGGTCCAAGCATCTGGGACACCTGGGCACACAATAACAAGCTCGCTCATGGAGATACGGGAGATGTTGCTTGTGACAGCTACCACAAATACAAGGAAGATGTTGCGTTAATGCGGAATTTGGGGGTGAGTTTGCGTCATATATACCTTTCTTTGTCTTCTTGTTCATCTAGTTTGTCATTGTTGTTGTTTTCATTTTGGTATTGTTGTTTTTGTTGTTGTTGT